ATCTAACTATATTAATAAGAATGAGAGAAGTGTTTAATAAGGATGGAACGGATGTGTATGTTGCTGAGAAAGATACATAGTAAGGAAGTGTGGGGAAAAGAGGTGTGGCAGGACATTGAAAGTTTTGTTCAATACTTGACGGTAACTGTTTATCATGTGGATGCTCATGTCCCTCTTGACTCATTAGAACGTTTGGTTAATTCTCAAGCAGACACTGCTGCAGCCATATCCAAAACATCCGATGCAGAAAGAGAAGCTGAAATTCAGGAAACATGGCTGCAGGGTACAGTCCTTTGGGCTCACCAAAAAAGTGGACATCTTGGAGAAAAGGCCACTTACAGGTGGGCACAGGAAAGGGGGATACCATTAACTATGGACAAAATTAAATCCATCATCCTTAAGTGTCCAGTATGCCAACATGTACAGAAAAGGAAAGTCCCACACACAGTGTTGGGACACATTGGAAGAGGTAAGTTGCCAGGTCAGATATGGCAGATGGATTTCATCAGACCTCTCCCAGCAAGCAGGGGATGTAAGTATTTTTGCACGGTGGTAGATACTTACTCAGGTTATCTAGTAGGGTTCCCCTGCAAAGCTGCTACTCAATGGAGTACTTTGAGGACTATAGAAGTGATAACCCAATATTATGGTACTCCTTTGCAAATTCAGACAGACAATGGTTCCCACTTCACAGGACAACAGGTAAAAGATTATGCCATGCAGCATGAATGGGTGTACCACATTCCCTACTAACCTCAAGCAGCTGGGTTGGTGGAGTGAATGAATGGTATACTAAAATCCACTTTAAAGAAGTTGCAAGGGTCTGATGCATATGGTCAATTAGCAACTAGATCAAGTATGGTGCTCTGAGGAGCAGTAGTTCTAGGAGGGTTAATAGATGCTGATTACCAGGGAGAAATTAAAGTAGTAATAATCAACCTTAGCACTGAAGCTATGATTTTACCAGCCCAGGACCGAGTAGCTCAGTTACTTTTGATTCCTTTATATATTGCTAACATTAGAGAGGGAGAGGCTCCCACAAAGTTAATGGTTGAGGAGACCAAGGCTTTGGCTCTACTAACACAGTTAATGTGGGGGCTAAAATTTGGGTACAGGGGGCATTTGGTCCCCCGGAACCTGCAGAAGTAATAGCTGTAGGTAAGGATCGCACCCTACTGATCATGAAACCAGGTAGAGAAAAGTGGGAACACGTCCCACAAGGAAAATGTTACTTGCGAGAATGATTCATACCGTATTGTCTTTCACAGAGCAACAATGTACTTACTTTCAGTCTTGGAATCCTTGGTATCGTGCGGCTGGTCAAATTAGAGGTCGGAGTGTAGACACCGGGAGTTAAAGTAACAGAAACCGGCAATGCCAGAATGAGCTGGGGTTGGAAAAACATGCGTACGAATACAACTCAAGATGATTTTATATGCCCAGCTAATCAGCCCTGCCCCATTCTAAATATAACCTCCAATGGTACTGTATGGACAGGAGCTCCGATAGAGGGTTACAAGCCAACATATGCGGTTCATGGAAATGAAGGTGTGATAAATGTTTGCTTTTGCCAACAGCAATCAAGCTTCATTTATTTGTCAGCTGCAAATAGGAGGTCCGTAACAAGAAACTGTACCACTAAGACTAAAGTAAATACTGCTTTTCTAAATGGATGCCTACTATATTTCATCCAGTTAGTATAGCTGTTGGAGTTGATAACCTAATGCTTCATTTAACAAATGCTTCAAATAATTTTTCAAAAGGTTTTGACACTAATGTTGCAAGATTTATTAACTGGACGGTGTGTACATTGCAAACCATGTATGAGCAACAACAAAAAGTTAATATGCAGGTTACGTTGATGACCAGAAATTAATTAGTATGGAGGACCGTGCTCAACAAGAATGTCCCCAAAGATATGTGGATACACTTGGATGCTCAAAAGATGATCTGTACTGACACTACCTGCCTTGGGACAATAATAATGTATAGTATTACTAAATCAACTATAATGTGTAAATTTGTTGTGATGCCTTTGATTATTGTTGCGCCTGGCGCTCAGCATTATTGGAGCCCAGAATTATATGGCACCCATGTAGATAATAACAAGACTCATGATCTTTCTTTTTGCGATGATACTTTAGAGGGAAAAATCTGTAAGCTACAGTCTTCTGTATAAGAGCCATGTTTGTTACAGAGCACTGTAAATATATGTACAGTTGCAAGAAAAAGTATGTGAACCCCTTGGGATTACGTGGAGTTTTCCATGAATTGGGCATAAAATGTGCTCTGAACGTCATCTAAGTCACAACAATAGAAGAACACAGTCTGCTGAACATAATACTACACAAACATTAGATGTTGCCATGGTTTAATTGCACATAACATGTAAACATTCACAGTGCAGGGAGGAAAAAGTATGTGAGGCCCTAGCTTAATGACTTCTCCCAGAGCTAATTGGAGCCAGGAGTGAGCCAACCTTGACTCCAATCAGTGTGATGATATTGGAGGTGTTGCTGACAGCTGTCCTGCCCTTAAAAAATACACACCTGTTTTGGGTTTACTGGTTTCAAGAAGCATTGTCTGATGTGAACCATGCCTCGCAGAAAAGAGCTCTCAGAAGACCTACGATCAAGAATTGTTGACTTGCATGAAGCTGGAAAGGGTTACAAAAGTATCTCCAAAAGCCTTGATGTTCATGTGTCCACGGTAAAACAGACTGTCTACAAATGGAGAAAGTTTAGCACTGTTGCTACTCTCCCTAGGCATGGTTGTCCTGTAAAAATGACTGCAAGAGCACAGCGCAGAATGCTGCATGAGGTAAAGAAGAATCCCAGAGTGTCAGCTAAAGACCTACAGAAATCTCTGGCACATGCTAACATTTGTGTTGTTGACACATTTACAATAAGGAAGACATTAAACAAGAATGGAGTACATGGGAGGACACCACAGAGGAAGCCATTGCTGTCCAAAAAGAATATTGCAGCACATTTGAAGTTTGCAAAAGAGCACCTGGATGTTCCACAGCACTACTGGCAAAATATACTGTGGACAGATGAAACTAAAATTGAGTTGTTTGGGAAGAACACACAACACTATGTGTGGAGAAAAAAAGGCACAGCACACCAACATCAAAACCTCATCCCTACTGTAAAACATGGCGGAGGGAGCATCATGGTTTGGGGCTGCTTTGCTGCCTCAGGGCCTGGACGGATTGTCGTCATTGATGGGAAAATGAATTCCAGAGTTTATCAAGACATTTTGCAGGAAAACGTACGACCATCTGTCCGCCAACTGAAGCTCCGCAGAGGATGGGTGATGCAACAGGACAATGACCCAAAGCATACAAGTAATTCAACAAAACAATGGCTGCAACAGCACAGAATACGCCTTCTGGAGTGGTCCAGTCAGAGTCCTGACCTCAACCCGATTGAAATGCTGTGGCATGACCTTAAGAGAGCAATTCACACCAGACATCCCAAGAATATTGCTACACTGAAACAGTTTTGTGAAGAGGAGTGGTCCAAAATTACTCCAGATTGTTGTGCAGGTCTGATCTGCAACTACAGGAAACGTTTGGTTGAGGTTATTGCTGCCAAAGGAGGGTCAACCAGTTATTAAGTCCAAAGGTTCACATACTTTTTCCTCCCGGCACTGTGAATGTTTACATGTTATGTGCAATTAAACCATGGCAACATCTAACGTTTGTGTAGTATTATGTTCAGCAGACTGTGTTCTTCTATTGTTGTGACTTAGATGACGTTCAGAGCACATTTTTATGCCCAATTCATGCAAAACTCCACGTAATCCCAAGGGGTTCACATACTTTTTCTTGCAACTGTAAATGGACCATCTTACCCATTTCCTATGAGATGATGATTGAAATAGCTCCGCAAACTGTGTGTATGGTGACCAACACTCCCGTGGTAAAGGGAATGAGCGTTCCCTTCTCAGGTTGTGTTAGTAACCTGTCTTCTTTAATTTGGCGCAATGAAACCTTTATATTACAGGGTGACAAGGAAGAATCAGTTCAAGAATATTGGAAGGGTTTTTCATTGGAGATCCCCAATTGGGAGTTCAATTTACCGGTTTTGAAACAATTAATGAATTAATCAATAGAAGTCCAACAATATCATATCAAATATTTAAATAAGACGATTGCACAACACATAGTAGATGGAAAATTGATAAAAGTGGGGTCTAGTATAGCGGAAGCTACTTCCCATCACTAGTGGGATGTGTTTCTAGGCTATTCCCCTTCAGCTACTAAGGTTCTAGATTTTCTGGTTCACCCTCTACTGATTATTATGATTATAATAGTTTTATTATCTCTATGGAACTGTTATATAGCTTACAAGCTATTTTGCAAGCGACCAATTCTGGTCATGGCAACTTATGTCACTTGAGTTTCAATCAAGGACCGATTGTGATACATATGTGACATGGGTGTATAGAATGTATGTGTGAAGGATGATTGACACTTAATTGCCATCATTTTATTAGAATATATCAGTGGAGGGGTAACTAGAGTTTAGAATAATAAGACAAGGACACTGTTAAAATCTATCAAGGCAAGATCTATGATTCATAGTTACCAGATGTGCAGTTGCAATCAGTCAAGGATTTATAGTTATAAGTAGAGATGAGCGAAGAAATGAAAAATTCGATTCGACTGATTCGGCGAATTCGTGGACAATATTCGATTCGAGTCGAATAAATTCGCTGTGAATTTAACTTAAAAAAAGGGGTGTTTCTAGGCTTCAGAGAGACTTAATATTAGTGCAGAACACTGTACCTTTAATTTAAATGCCCTTGGAGTCTGCTGGGGAAGAGAAATAATACTGTCTGTCAGTATGACATGCAGATGAGTGCCGTCGATCTTAGAATCACTGCACACTTCACTCCTTGGCCAGTCACGGGGCCAAAACCAGTGTTTGGAGCCACAGTGTGGCGGTGGAGGCAGCAGCAATGGGAGCCATACAGCAACCTATGACAAAATGGAAACCAGCAGGAGCGTGAGGAGACCTGAAAGTGGCACATGGCAGAGTGGGAGCAATGGGAGGCGGTACAGGGACCCAGGTCACACTATGGGCCCAGCAGCAGCGTGACCAGGCGGTACGGGGGGGCCCATGGCCGATATGGGGCTTGGTGGCACCTATGGAAGGCCTGTAATCTGCCAGCAACCTATGACAAAATGGACAACCGCAGGAGTGTGAGGAGATTTCAAAGTGGCACATGGCAGAGTGGAAGCAATGGGAGGCCGTACAGGGACCCAGGTCACACTGTGGGACCAGCATCAGCGTGAACAGGCGGTACGGGGGCCCATGGCCGATTTGACCTCATTCATCCCATAGTCCTGCCGACTCACGAATAGCGTGGCCTCCTCAAAGGGCCTGAGCAAGCGCAGGTGTCACACATGAGCTGCCAATGGCTGACATCTAAGTTACACAGGGAGTACCTTTATCCGCTTTTAACATCAGGAAATCTGTGATGGCCTTTAGCTGTTCGTAAAGGCGGTCTAACATATGTAGGGTTGAATTCCACCTTGTTGCAACGTCACAGCATGAGGAGTCGGTACGGGGGCCCATGGCAGATTACATGTCTGGCAGCAGCTATGTGAGGCCCGTAATCTGCCTGCACCCTATGTCAAAAAATTTAACACACCAGCAGTGTGAAGAGACCTGAAAGTGGCACATGGCAGCAGAGTGTGGCGATGGAGACAGCAGCAATGGGAGGGCCGTACAGGGACCCATGAGAGACTCTAGACTTGGCAGCAGCATGAGGAGGCGGTATATAGGGGCCCATGGCAGATTAGGGGCCTGGCAGCAGCTATGTGAGGCCCGTAATCTGCCTGCACCCTATGTCAAAAAATTTAACACACCAGCAGTGTGAAGAGACCTGAAAGTGGCACATGGCAGCAGAGTGTGGCGATGGAGACAGCAGCAATGGGAGGCCATACAGGGACCCATGACAGACTCTGGACTTGGCGAGCGAGCATGAGGAGGCGGGGGGTATATAGGGGGACCATGGCAGATTAGGGGCCCTGGCAGCAGCTACTTAAGGTTTGAGGCCCGTATAATTCTGCCTGCACCCCTATGTCAAAAAATTAAACACAGCAGAGTGTGGCGTGGAGCACAGCCAAGGGGGAGGCCTACAGGGCCCCCATAAAGGGACAGGAAATTGGCGCAGATGAGGGGCGGGTATATAGGGGCCCATGGCAGATTGGGGGCCTGGCGCAGCTTGGAAAAGGCCCTAATTTTCCCAAAAACCCTTGTCAAAAAATTTAAACCACCAGCAGTGTGAAAAAGGGAATAAAGTGGCACTGGGAGAGTGTGGCGGGAGAAGCACAATGGGGGGGCCGACAGGGACCCATGAAGACTCTAGATTTGGCAGCACATGAGGGGCGGTTTTGGGGCCCATGGCAGATTTGGGGCCTGGCGCACTATGTGAGGCCGTAATCTCCCTGCCCCCTATGAAAAAAAAACCCCCGGTTTGGGGGCCGGTGGCCTGGCGGGGTCGTTGGGAGCGCCCCCTGGGGAGGCCTGGGCCCTGGGGTCTTGCTTGGCGGCGAGGGGCGGTTTTGGGGCCGGCGTTGGGGTTTCCAGGTGTGACCCGTATCTGCCTGCCCCTTGTCAAAAAAATTTAACACACCAGCGTGTGAAGAGCCCTGAAAGGGGGGGACATGGCAGCGGTGGGGCTGGGGGACAGCAGCAATGGGAGGGGCCTACAGGGACCAAAAAGGACTCGGGGATTTGGCAAACAAAATGAAGGCGGATATAGGGGCCCATGGCAGATTGGGGGCCCTGGCAGCACTATGTGAGGCCCCGAAATCTGCCTGCACCCTATGTAAAAAAATTTAAAAACCCACCAGCGTGTGAAGAGACCTAAAAGGGGCACATGGCAGCAGAGTGTGGCATGGAGACGCACAATGGGAGGCGTACAGGGCCCCCATGAGGACTCTGATTTGGGGCAGCAGCTGAGGAGGGGGGGGTTTTGGGGGGCCCTGGCAGATTAGGGGCGGGCAGCAGCAAGGAGGCCCAAAAATCTCCCCGCACCCTATGTAAAAAAATTTAAACACACCACAGTGTGAAAGACTGAAAGTGGCACATGGCAG